TTTCCCTACCTCTCATTCCCAGCTTGTGGCCTGAGTATGAGTGGTAGCACCCCCCAAGGCCGTGCACTAAGCTCCCCGGACTGAATCAGTCTCAGCGCACGTGGCCTTGGCCTTCACACCAGCAAAGAAGCCTCCTGGCGGTGAGGCTCAGTTGGGTCCGATCCCTCACCTTTGGGGAAGCTCCTGGCTCAGAAGGATCCTCTTGGAAGCAGAACTCGGCCACCAATCCGGGTTTCTGATCTAGAACCGCCCATGGAAACACAGTAACCCAGAGCCTCGTGGCCTCTGCTCTCAGGAGAGCCCTTACCTCTCTGTGAGGCCAGCGGACGCCAGGAGCATGGACGTGCCACAGTCCTCAGGGGATGAGACCAAGGTCCCTGGGAAACAAGGTCCACTCCCCCATGCCCACAGGCCTCAGGGGGTCTCGGAACATGGTGGAGGCCTCAGTTCCTCTGGACACTGGCCTCACGCTGTCAAGAAAAATCTCACGTACTTAAGGCAGTCCCGCCAGAGAGGTCTGGGAGACAGAGAGGCACCTCAGCAAATGGCCATCCAAAGTGAGCCAGGTTTTAAAAGTTTGGGCACCTAAGTGTTAACTCTCTAGATACTTTCTGCACGGAGCAGCCTTCATTGCCAGGAGATGTGGGGACAAGATGGCGGACACATGAATGCACTGTCCTCTCCGCTCCCACGCGTCTCCCCACTTCCTGTCCCTGCTGTTCACCATCTGACCAGTCTTTGCTGAGCATCTACTGTACGCCCGTGCTGGCCATCTCTGCTGGGGACAGAGGGGTGGGCAGGACTGAATGGGTCCCCGCACTCTCTGGCCGGGAGATGGGTGCCTAGCAGTTCCCGCTGGTGGGAGAGATGGAGATAAGAGCTTCAGAGCAATGGGGGTGCAGTTTCGGTTGGGGTCTGGGGGGCCAGGGAGGGAAGAGTGTTCTGATACCAGGAAGGAGGCGGATCCCATGGGGCCACGAGCGGCAGAGGCCACCACTGAGCAGAGGGCTGCTGGGTGATGATGGACTGTAGGGGCAGAAGCCGGGAGACGACGGAGGGGGCTGCAGGAGGGGTGGGGGCAGGGACCCCGGGGGCACGACCGGAGCTCAGGGGACTTGAAGGAAGGCAGGCTTCCGGGAGGTTGGGGCAGGGCAGGCTCCTTCTGGGGTGCTCTGTGAACGCACCTGCCCACCCAGGTGGGCA